TCTACTTGTTCATGATATTCTAATTTTATGACCAGCACCTGTATGTATGAAGTGATTTGGTAGTTTTAGTGCATTTTGAATGTGAAATGAACTGCTGTGCCAAGCTGAAAGTTGGTTTGGAGAACTGTGTGAAGAGTTTTGAAAAAGTGACTTAAGTATTGAAAAATGGGTGCTAGCGACTGTAAAAAACTGTAATACTCCATGTGCATTTTTTAAATTTCCAGTGTGTGTGTTAGTAGCGGATATGCCAGCTCACTTTCAAATCAGAAGAATCATGAAGGTTATCTAGCAGGTGGTAGCGTTTTGTCTGTTCTTGGCCAATTGATTTAATATAATTGTATTCAATCTGTTGCTCCAGTAGTTATGCTATGTCATGATGCTTTATTCCTCCTTAGTGTGTCTTACATCTTTTGTCATGGCTAAGTGCCACTTCTGAGAGGTTCACCTTTATGCATGACAAGCTGGAATCAATTTGTGTCTCATACCACTGCGGATCAGAGAACAACCGAGGGGATGGGCGACTTTTACAGCTTATTTCAGTCTCCCATTAATCCTTGTTGCATTTGTTGTCAGAGATTAGAAAGTGTTTGCCTTTTGCTAGGTATATAAAAAACAATGACTAAACAAAGCTCTGTGAAAAACACCAGATTTGGGTCAAATGCATTGACGTCAACAGTATTGTTCTGATGAAAGCTAAGAACTTGTTTAAAATCATGTCCGGCAGTCAAAAGTTATGCCTTTTATTCAAAATGTTTTGTCAGAACATTTCAACACAAAAAGATAAACAGACAACCTTCAAAGGATATGCTTTGTTAATAGATAAGACACACACTGTTTCAGCTAATTACACTAAATATATGTCAGTACAAATCATAGATTCAAAGAAAAATGTTGAGAATTCCCTTCTGGCAACATTTTTATGGATTAAATAACTACAAAGTCACAATTTGGGGTTACTTTTACTCATACTGATAAAATTCCTTTTAATACATTGTTGATACAGAACCTAACTTTGATTTGCTAAAGGAAGAAGTGAAATGATTAATACAGACAGAAGCAATAAGGAGGACATGAAATGCCCTGTTGATTAAATTGTGGCATTAACATACATATGTACGATAATATGTGTATATATTGTATATGTATTTGTATATGTGTTTGTGTATTTTCTTTTTCTTTCAAATATTGGTTGTATTCTTGGTTTTGTTTTAATGTATATTTTTTAAGGACCCCAGGAAGAATAGCTGCAGCATAGCTGTAGCTAATGGGGATCCTTTCAATAAAACTAAAACTAAAACATTATGAACAGTTTAGTTTGTGCCTTCAAGTCGTTTGCCAATAGGAAGACGTTACCTGGATATAACCTAATGGAATATCTTCGGAACAGCTCCAAATGACACAAAACTAATATAGGTGAGTAGAACATGATGTAATTAACGTAAAATCAAGGGCCCAATATAAAAAAAGCAGCATTCCCCTTCAACAGAGCATAAACTACGAGATGGAGAGAGAATAGGCAAAGGGAGAAACAAATGTTAGGAGCTTATTCTGAGAAGAAATGGAGTCACAGTGGTCACAGCAGGTAAGTGTGCGGTGCATTAGGGATAATGTCGAAAAGTGCATCAAAGTGATTTTCTACATTATTAACAATAGCATTTAGCATCATCATCCCAGAAAGCCTTAAAGAGGAAAATTATCTTCCTTATAGAGAAAAATGTAAAAACATAACAAGGATTCTATGTAAAGAGGTTATAACAATAAATCAACATCCGAGGTTTTAACTAGAATTAGTCATAGATCTTTGTATAGCACAGATTTAATCATGTTTGTTTCTTTCCACAGTACTCTTTCTTTTTACGTCTCAGAGAGGTAACAAAGTAAGCTTATGTAAAGTCTTTTGAAACAGCCTCAATAAAATTTGGAGCTGACATTAGAATAGTGAATGTGCAAATGATAGAGAACAGAGAGAAAGCCACCAAGCATAATCGATCCACCACAGCAGCAGCAAACTTCCACTCACTGCAGATCTCCTCCCCCTCATCCTGGTCTCGGAAGCGCCTAGATATGTACTGCACTTCCTCAAGGATGAGTGAAATTTCAGGAATTTGCTCCAACAGCAATGTTCGTGTATGATCTGAGTGAATATCAGGCTGGGGAGAGCCACTGTGATGGTTTCCTCCCCCTACCCCTCCTTCTCCACCAACTCCACATGTCACCAAGCCTGAGTCGGTGCTCGGTGGTAAGGTAGGGTTGTCTGTTCCCATAGAGTGGTAGCCAAAGTAAATGTTCATATTTCCATTGGTTGTAGTTGCCTGCGTGGAAGCCTGCCCTGGAATAGTGCTCATCTGGACGCTGGTGGCACTGGTGTGGTGCAGAGGAGAGTGAGAGTATTTGTAAGTTGGAGGGTTTCTAGAGTTCATTGTCATTTTATTTTCTTCTCCTGGCTTCTTCATACGGAGGAACCATGCACACCAGTTCAGTAGAATGACACGAACCTAGTTAAGAAGAAAATGAGATAATATTTTATGATATAATTATAATATGAGGCCAGAAATTACACATTCCGCATTACAAAATGCCACAGAAATGTAAATGATTTAAGACAATTCTCCTCTTTGAAAAAGAAAGCAGGGGTTTAAACAAAGCTCAGTTTGTACATTATTATTTAATTTCTAAGAAAGAAAAAAGCTATCTTTAACTGAGTTTATATGAAATTATAATGGTCCTCTATCTAAAACAAGGCACCAACTACAATTAACCACATTCAAACCAATCATAGATTCTCTTAGCAACAAAATGATGTGACTAATCTGAAGCTTAGATCTTACAAAAAAGATATATGAAAACTTGCATTATCCCACATCCCTCCTTCATAGATCATACTTTGCATGGAATTCATCACATCTACAGGTGCCACATGGACCATACTGCCCTTCTGCATATAAATATGCAAGGTCAGATGAATAACATTAACGCCTCACCCCAATAACCAAGACAGTGTCTTTAAGAGTAGGAGAAGATTGTGATTGTGAAATAAAGGTGTTGGAAAAGTGTCTGAGGTGAATGAATGGAAAATGGTTCAGTAATCAATGAATGGAATGGGTGAAGGTAGCATTAATAGCATTACTTGAATCTCAAAGCTTGCCTGAAAACAAAGTTAGTCACATACTATTGAAATGCAGACTTTGCTCAGAAAGTAATTTATGATGTCATTTCAGAATAAGAATTAATTAATACCTTGCGGAAAATTCTTTTCTTGCAGTGCAACCATTTGCATAAGTGCATAGTAATTGAATATGATACATTACACAAGTTATTGCCCTTGTAGTGTCGCATTGTAGAGTCTGGTTGCAGCAGGGATGAATGACCTGCTGTAGCACTCCCTTTTACAAATAGGATGTAACAGTCTTTCACTAAAGGAGCTACTCAGCTTCTCTACAGTCTGGTGCAGGGGGTGAGAGGTGTTGTCCATGATGGGTGTGAGCTTGGACAGCACTCTCCTCTCACCCATTTCTTCCACTGAGTCCAGAGTGCAGTCTAGGACACAAACTGCCTTTCTCACCAGTTTGTCCAGTCTCTTTCTGCCCCGCTCTGCGCTGCCAGGGCCCCAGCAGACAACAACGTAGAGGAGGGCTGATGCCACCACAGAGTCATAGAAAATTTTAAACTCCAAAGGACTTCAGCCTCCTCAGGAGGTAGAGGCGGCTCTGGCCCTTCTTATACAGGGCATCGGTGTTATGAGTCCACTCCAGATTATTTTTGATGTGAACACCCAGGTATTTGGAGCTCTCCACAGTTTCTATGTCCTGTCTCTCCTGGATGTTCACAAGGGAGTGAGGTGGGGGGTCCTCTCCTGAAGTCAATCACCATCTCTTTGGTCTTACTTGTTTTAAGACACAGGTGGTTTTTCTCTCACCACTCCACAAAGTTCATGATGACCGATTGATACTCCAGCTCATTCCCCTCTGAAACACCGCCTACAATGGCTGAGTCATCGGAGAACTTCTGGAGATGGCAGCTGTCCGTGTTGTAGGTGAAGAGGGGAAGAGGAACGGAGACAGAACGGTGCCCTGGGGGGCCCCGGTACTGCAGACTGCCACCTCTGACTGACAGCCGTGCAGCCGCACGTACTGAGGGTGTTCGGTGAGGTTGGTGGTCCAGGCAGCAAGATGTCTGTCCACTCAAGCATCCTCCAGCTTGCACCTCAGTAGCTCTGGTCTGGTGGTGTTGAAAGCACTGGAAAAATCAAAGAACATGACTTTTACTGTGCTCCGGGTGGTCTCCAGTTGGGTTAGCACCTGTTGCAGCAGGTAAATGATGGCATCCTCCTCTCCGATTTCAGATCGGTAAGTAAACAGTGGCGGATCCAGGATGGTGCTCACCACAGTGTGCAGGTGGGCTAGGATGAGGCGCTCCATGGTCTACATCAGGTGGAAGGTCAGTGTGACTGGTCTAAAGTGGGCTGGTTCCTTGGGATGAAGCATTTTGGGAACCACACAGGAGGTACTCCAGAGAGTGGTGGCCACCCCCAGGCTGATGCTCAGGTTGTCATTGTGGCTGAAGACCCTGCAGAGCTCATCAGCACACTTACTCAGCAGCCTTAGGGGAATCCCAACCGGTCCAGAGGCTTTCCTCTGTTTCAGTCTCTTCAGCTAGCCTCTCACTTGCATCGCAGTGACAGGAGAGGGGAGGGGGGCAGGAACGTAGGCATCTTTAATGTTTGCATAAAAAAGGTCCAGGGTTTTATTGTCCCTTGTTTTACATGTGACGTACTGGGTGATCATGGGGATCGTGGAAAGGAGGGAGGCTCGATTGAAATCTCCAGTTATGAGCAGGAGAGAGCAGGGGGTGCTGTGTCTGCAGCACCCCCGCAAACTCAAGTCGCAAACTCAGTGATGTAGCAGAGTAAGGCCAGAGACAGTTAAGCACTCAGATGATGTTAAGTGATCCAAGGCAGGCAGAGCACACCATTGTAGCCAAGCAAGCGCAGAGATGGGAAGACTGCATTTGGATTGAGCTCTGCAAGAGCAAAACTGGCGGAAAAAAGATTTGTCCGAGTTGAGCGTTCACTAGACAACTATTAAGTAAGTTTGTGGGAGATTTAAAAGCTGCACACCTGTCTCCAAGTCAGATTGATAACTATGAACTGATGTTGGTGGAACAAAAAATATTACTAAGGGGATTACTGTTGCCCCTGTATAAACACAGAATTTAAACAACTCAGTCTTTGTATGCATAGCATTCATTAAAGCTTTTAGATGGTAGCAGTTAGTAGAATGGAGGTAATTTTTATTTTGTTCAGATTTTCACACATAGTTACTAGTACAAGTCATTTTTAACCTACCCATTTAGGCATTTTCCCTCCTCGAGGATCATGATGGTGAAACTGTAGAACCAGTACAGTTACCACCACAGACAAGCCCACAATCATCATGGTGCTGGCAAAGTACTGTGCTGAGAAGAAATGGGAACATATTTACAAATCATGTATTCTTAAAAGGGTGATGAAAACTATGACATGAATAGAAATTGTAGCCATTTTTTTTAGAAATGGGGCTGAAAGCAGATTTCAAATCTACAATGCATTTAAAATGAAAGCGATACAGAATGTAGAATACAATTAATACATTTCATTGTATTTTTATGATAATGTGCAAGTCTGTTTTTCTATATTACAGCTTCTGTTCATCTGCTATACAGACCTATCCAAATTTCATATATTTTCATGTTACACCATAAGTGGGTGAAAACCTATCAGACGGATTACCATTGAGCATCAATTCGAATTCGTTACACATCTTCTAACATGACAGACACATTGCTAATGGCTTTGTTTTATATCAGAAATTTGACAGATGACATAGGGCAACAGTTCTATCTGCTGCGTTCCCTCTCATTTCCAAGCCCACTGTCTTGTGTGCTCTAGTGTGCATTAGTGCCGTCTCACACAATGCTATTCAAATGTGTAATGAGGATAATCTTCATATGCTGCAAAAACAAGAACAAATTCACCTCACACTTTTTCTATGGTTACAACACATTATCTGCTACCCATGACATCATCGTTTTCAGGTTCAGGTGGCAGTGATCTCAATTCATTGATGAGGGCTTATAAAGCTAAAAATTGCCCTGATTTAGATACTGTAACCAAACAATTACTTGGTTCCCCTTTAACTTTAATACGAAAACTTTTTTTACATGCATTCCTTTCATTCACCACATAAAATTAATCAGGAGTAAGAATTCACAAATTTAGGAAAGTGCTATAGATGTTATTTTCCTCTATCTTCTTGTAATGAGCTTTATTAAGTTACAGATAAAGGATGTCTTACCAATAAGAGGAACGGAGTCTGAAGTGGCAGGCATAATTTCTGCAACCAGCAGCATGAACACTGTTAGAGAAAGCAGCACAGTAATACCTGAAGAAAAAAAGATTAGAACACATGAACTGCTGTAATCATCTGTCTTTTCTCTAAGCTAATTATCAATTTATAAGACCTAAATATAAATGCAACTTCTAAGATAAGTATATGTTTCTTGAAGTGTTTGTGTTTCTCTTCAATTTGACCTTGTCTCACTGAGCAGCATTTTGAAAAAAGCTGTCATTTCTAGGTTCAGGTGGTTATCTTCTGCTATGTTTATGATGCGGCTTTTTATTCATCTGCCAATAAACAGGATGCCTGAATGCTTTTCTGCAACCTTATTATCAGCATTAGCATGCATAATTACATACAGAAAATTCTTAAACAGTGTTTGGAATGCAGATTACTGAGATGGGGAAGATATATATAGATATATATATATATATATATATATTTTTTTTTTTTCCTATGTTGATGTCACTGTCCTTTTGTGTTAGTATAGTATTATTTTAATGGGGGCACAATATTGTGTGTTCTTAGTCTGTACCTAGTGAGATCTTTTCGCCAGAGTCAGCAGGAAGCAGAAAGACCAAAAGGGCTAATCCAGAAATTAGCACACAGGGAATGAGGAGGTTAAGACCATAGTACAAAGTCCTGCGGCGCATAGTGACGGTAAAAGTTACATCAGGGTAGGGTTCCTTGCAGCATTCATAGTACAGCTCATTGCGTTTCCCTGGCACACCTGGGGACAAAAATGTTATAAGTGTCAGAGGTTGACAATACATTTGTTGCTTTATTTTTTTATATCCTTATTTATTATTCAATATGAACAGTAAAATTATCACAGCAGTATTAGTAAGACGGGAAAGCTGCTGCGAGCTAGACCTGTTTTTTTGTGCCACCAAACTGAGCGCACCATTACCAATCGGAGCACACAGTACAAGACTTTTGTGCAATGCAATCTCACACACAACTAATAAATGTGTCTGGTGCACGTTATAACTCTGCCAGCTGTGCTCTCGCTCAGCAAAGTATCTTTGCTTACACTTGGTCTGCTCCTTGCTTGATTAACATTGTGTGTGCTCCCCTTTGCTTGCGCCATCTTTTCAACGTGACTAGATAAATGGTAAGTAAACGAACTACACTGCCAGCTATATTAAAAGATACATAGAAATCAACTACACTGACCTCTTCCACCTTTTTCTTCTCACAGTTAGTGTATTTCCTTTAATCTACTTATTATAATATAAATGTTCCCTTGTATTCTCATAAAAAGTAAAAAAAAAAAAGCATTTCATTATTTCATTATCAATTCATTATTCCACTGTTTTAAATATTCTGGTCATTTTGGCATTTCTGGGGAGTTTCTGTATAATTTCTTTAATGTGTATTGTATTGTAAGATTGAAGCTTTTTATTTTTCATCTACTACTGCTAAGATTGTAAATGAACACTGATAGGGAATTAATCATTAAATAAGCACAAAAGAAAACAAGGAAAATGAATTTTGTTAACTAGTATTAAAATATGTATTAAAATAAACATGCTGTTAATTGTATTAAAAGCATGTCTCTACCTTCTCATCTAGTTTTAGTCAAAAAAAATTTTTTTTTAATGCATATTGGGAGTGAGATTACTGGGATCCAATTTCATTTTTATCATATTATATATCCTAAAATTTAAAACTGATTTCATCTATGGATCGAGGAGGATAACATGAGGTTTTGAACTACACATCTGTCTCCTTATTCTAATGGAAAACTTCACCAGGAAAACAGCTCTCTAGAGTCATAGATTGATTAGATGTGTGGCTTTTTGTTAACAACACACAAAAGGTAGAATAAGGCTACGTTCACACTGCAACCTGAAGTGACCCAAATCTGATTTTTTTGGCCCATATGCGGCCTGGATCTGATTTTTTCATGGCTGTCTGAACAACACACATCTGATTTTTTCCAATCCGACTCAGGCCACTTGGCTATGTGGTCCTGAATTCGATACGAATCTAATCTTTTCAAATGCGACCTGGCCATTCAGACACAGGTCGCATTTGAAAAGATTAGACTCATCAGACCTGAACGCCATTGATACCCGACAAAGGTCACTATTCTGCATCTTGCTACGCAGGCGGAAAGAAAAACAACAGCCACAGCAGATGACGATGCGGAGAGCAGTCTTTATGTTTAACCATATTGAAAAGATTGAGTTTTTATGGTTGCAAAAGATTGCTAGATGGCGCCCACACTACCATTCATGTTTACTTCCGTAAACACAGAGCACGCTGGCCTGTGACGTCATTGCACCCTCTATTGTGCATGCGAGACACTTGCGTTGTATGACTGCAGTTCACACAGGAGATCACATACAGGTTGCATATATTTGGAAATATGAACGGCAATGCAACAAAAATTGGATTTTGCAAAAAAATCTGAATTGAGCATCAAGGCCTGTAGAGTGAACGTAGCCTTCGTGCCTCCACTCTTCCAAAAGATGGAAATATAAAAAAAATAAGCAAGCATGAACAAGCAGTCTCGTTTTACCTTCTGAAAACAATCTCTCTTTTTTATAGATGATTATAACAGCTATCTGGTTTTTGGCTTTGAGAGGTAAAGCAACACTAGGCCGAGTAAAAGTAACAACACAGTCCATGACAAATAGCCCTAACAGTTAGATCAAAGATGAACATAACTTTTCTCAGGTAAAAAAAACGCTCTTAGTCCTTTTTTTTTTGCTGGATATGTCCTCTAACAAGATTGCTGTACTAAGGAAGCAATTGCTGCTCTCTTCTTAAAGCAACACATTTTATCCAGTAAGATGTTTAAACGCAGCTGTTGTCTTGTTTTTTATCAGTATAATTTGAGCTCCGATCTGTTTAACAAAAGATTATGAATATATTAATTAACTAATTGGAAGTTCTAGTTAATTAATAGGTCATTCAAATCAAGGGTAAAACTAATTAATTATTATCAGTTGAATGATTATAACTGTAATTTACTTACTGACCAGGGTTTTAGCCTCTTATCTAAAAGGTTGGACCCCTGAATCTGGCTGTTAAAAATTCTGTTGTCTTTCACCAATTTAGTAATTTAGACTATGGCTCTTAGCAAAGCTATTAATCACCAACCAAATAAATGTGTCTCTGTTCATTCGGATGCTACTAAAATGAGAGTGAATCCAGCCTGAGGGATAAATCATTCACTTTGTAAAAGAAGCACAAGAGAGTCAAAATACAATGGTACCTTTATAAGCTACAATCAAACAGTATTATACCTAATAACTAAGCGCACTACTAAAAATAAGAGATAAAACGGCAAGAGGGGCCCTGGACCCTTTCCCAACAGTCCTGGTAAAATCCAATCTCCATACCATAAGTCCCCTTATCACAAAGGTCATTAACTACTCCCCCTAGTCCGGCCTAGTTCTATCAACACTGAAAACTGCTATCATCAGGCCAATTCTCAAAAAAACCACCCTTGACCTTGAAGTCTTTGCCAACTACAAGCCTATCTCCAATCTTACGTTCCTTTCAAGTGTGCTGGAAAAAGTAGTTTCGGCGCATCTCCAGGACTATCTAAAACAACATGATCCGTTTGAAAAATTTCAGTCATTTTTTCGCAAGGTCCACAGCACCGAAACAACCCTGGTCAGGGTCACAAATGACCTGTTGATGACAACAGATGCTGGCTCCCCATCTCTTCTTATCCTCCTGTACTTGACTGCAGAATTTGGTCATTGTGGATCACAACATCCTCCTCATTCGTTTAAGCTCTGTTATCAGAGTCTCTGAGTCTGTCTGACTGGTTTTCATTATACCTCACTGGAAGATCTGAGGATGTCACATTGGGAAAGGCTAAATTCCTGGCTCACAGTGTCACCTGTGGTTTCCCTAAGGGCTCAGTGCTCGGTCCCCCTTTGTTTAATCTGTACAAACTCCCTTTTGGCTATGTCATCACCCAGCATGGGGTTTCACTCAATTGCTTTGATAATGACACTCAGCTCTACCACAGGACAAACCCAACATCCTCTGCTCCTCTGCCATCATCAACTTTGACCACCTGCCTGGAGGAGGTAAAGGTGTGGATGGAGCACAACTTCCTTCAGTTAAACAGCTCCAAGACTGAAACCATCTAAGTCGGCAAAACTAAGGTGGCGAAACGTCTTCATATATTGGAAACCAAGTCCAGTGGATATTTTTTGAATTTTTGCGGAAAGAAGCTAGGAAATGTGATCTCCCTATTTTTGGAACACACTCTCCAATCCCTCTTCCAATGCAAGAGAGTCACCAGTCTGCCAATCCAGGGGCACTGTCCTTGACCTCCACATGATGAAAAGAAGAGTAGGGTTGACCATGACAGGGCGACAACATCCAGAGAACTTAAGTACTCAGGTTGTTGGTCATTGACCTCCAAAGCCTTTCCTTGTTTTAGCTTTGTTGTCCCAGATTACCTGAATGTGGTTGACCTGGTCCCTGCAACAGGCTGGTAATGTGTCCAGTCTGCAAATCATCTCACAGTAAATCATTTCTATTATTCCATCTGATGCTTTAAATAAGGTGCTAAGCATGGGTGAGCTAGTCATGTTAGGTTTAGCAAAGCGTTGATTTGAACTTTGGGACTCTTTATGCTGATGTTTCATCTGAACTGGTTTATAAAGAGCTCTGATTTCGTGGTTTGAATGAGTGTGTTGTGAATGGCTGTGAATGAGTTTGTGTTTTCTTTCATCTTGAATTTCTTGTTTTTTCCCCTTTTGTCCTGAGGTTAGGGTATTAGAGTAAGTGAGGATTGTAGACCCAGTAAAACCTTGAGTAATCAAATTCATTGGGTTGGTCCTTTTCCTGAGTTTTATGGTCTATTGTCTGGAGATCTGAAACCCCTCCATTTTCGTTGGATATGAGCAGCCATTTTGTGACATCATAAATTAAGATACGCCCCATTGTAGTCCAACCCTTCCCCTTTAGTCATGTGATCACCATCCGGTAGTTTCCGAAAGGGGACCTCCATCTTAATCCTGCCTTGTTTACCCTGCATCAAAGCACCCTCTCTCCTTTATCTACCTAGGTTAGTTGAATGTAGTTACATTGTTTTAACAGGATATATCATTGTATTTCTATCTGCTATTGTTGAAGGGACATTAATGAATGTTTTGACATTGGTTCTCTATTGGATACCCTTTATAAGCTATCTCAACGGACTCTTAGACCCCTTCCTCCCCTCTTTCAAATTATTAATTTATTCTACCTTGTTTTTTATTTTTCAGCAGTGTAGTGTGGCATAGGTGTTAGATTTATGTAATCCTGGATTATTAGAAATGAAGACATCATTGTTTAACTTGCAGTCGTTTGTGGTTTGTACAGCGAATGGTTTATCACTCAGGCCAATTCACCCTCCTTTTGGTGACATTTGTATAAACAGACACAAATATTTTCTTGATTGGTTATTAATAGCTCTAATAATTAACAGTTATTAATTATTCGACTAAGAACATAAAATTGGATTAACCCTCAATTTTGAATGATTTTAATAATTAACTTCAACTCCAGTTCAAGTTAATCATATATTCATAATCTACAGGTAAAATATCACAACATCAGCAAGTCAGCATGGTTGTATTAAGGAAGTGTTACTATCTGTTCTTATGTTGCGTTTGTTCTTATGGTCCTATAAAATAGGACTCCAGCAACACATTTTTGTGCTTTTCCAGATAGTCTTTAAACATCAATAAAATTTTCTTCAAATGCAGATGAAATCATAAGTGGTGATGATGAGGCAGTGGTGGAAATCTTTATAGGAATACGAGCTGAGAGAACCTAAGGCATGCACCAGAAACAGGTCTAGGTGAAGGATCCAGAATCACTAGTGACTGACACACCACTTGAAGTGGTTAAAGACTAATTGCAGTTGACTTTTTTTATTTTATCAGTGTTGGAAATATATACCTATTTTCCTGTACATTTGATATGAAGTACTCAAGCAAGGTTGGCTGTGTGATTTCCAATATTGTTGTGCATTTACATTTTTTGCTCAATGTGTTAAGCTACTTTTTCTGTTAATTGAAATTAAACAAAGGATACTTGGACTAAGGATTTGCAAACCTTCATGTGTTTTTACAGGGTGAGGGACAAAGTTCCTAGCACACAGCTCAAAGAGATATCCAGCTTTGGCTCAGCCGAAGGTTTTGAACTGGGAATACATTACAGTTTTTGTATTCTTTTCTTTTTATCTGCATCTGAGAAAATCATAGGAAGCTATTTAAAAAAATGTGTCTTTGTGTGATACAACCATATTCAGGGGTTGCCACACCAATCATTATCGCCTGTTTTCGAAATGATTTTTTTCCTTCTGGTTGTCCTTTCTGAGGCCACAGCAAATAAGTAGTGCAGATTTCTATTAGTTAGAAGCTGCATGTGTAGGTTATGAGGGTCAGTTTTAATCAAAGGGACAAGTATTTAACTTTGAAATCATAAGAAAGGAATCAAATACCTTCGTATTAATCATTTCCCTTTTTGAGAAATAAGAGAGCCGAATTATCTGGACTACAATTAGCAATCAATTCTGTGTAAAAATCAGGCTTATGTAAAGCAGATTTGATTATGTATTTAGTATGACAGACAACACCTGATAAAATTTTTCAAGCTATTTCATATTTTAATAGACATACTGTATCAGATAATGGCTCTTATGTAACAAAATAGCATTGATTAACGTCAAGTCATCAAGGGACTACAGGTGGAAATCATTATCTGCTTGCTATGACCTGACATCATGCATATTTCTTTTTTAAGTCAATGTATTGTCCCTATGCAAAGGAAATCATTGCACTTATCATCATCTTTAAAAAAAACACCATGATCCATAAACACAGCTCATTATCGTGTGTCTTGCTAAACTGATTGATTTCCAACATTAATTTAATTTAAATAAATTAAATGCATCTAATTTAATTTAAATATTGTCACTTGGTGTTGAAGAAAAATAGCTTTTGTTAGCCACCTATTAACCTGATGGATTGCAGACATGCAGATATTCATAGTGTGTTTATGGGTGTGTGTTGGCCTTGACACTGGCATGGTTTGTCCTGAGTCATCAAGACCATTTGCATTCCTGGGAGGTTTGGCCTCTGACTTACTCTGAATACTTTTCTGAATTAAGCGCACTATCCTTGGACCAGGTGATGCCTTATACAAACCACATTACCCCCAAGCACTCACACATATCCCTTGGGGTACATGGGTAAGCTCATTTTCTTTGCAAGTCTGTCTTTGTCTTCAGATATGCTCTCTTGGCCATTGACTAATAACAATTAAGGAAGATATTGTGTGACATCTTTAATTACACATGGACAGAGATGATGGAAGAGAAAAAAGGTATCTGATTGTACCTTATCCAAGACAAGATAAAAGGAAAAGGATAATATCTGAACTTGTGACTCTGAATTTACCTTAACATTAAAACTTTGATATAAATTCAGTGCATATGTTCACAAAGCTAGTGGGTCCTTACCAATATGCTTATATTCATCCAGTTTCCAAAAAAGAAGAGGTATAGTTAGCAACCTACCCTTGACCACAGATCAGTAATGCATCAAGGTTTTAAAGAATGTGTTTTAATTGGACAAGCTGTCCATAGTAGTAGACATGGTACATGCAATCCACAGGCATCAAGATAAAGGAGATTCTTGTGCTTTTATTTAGCATACCAGAAGCATAAACACCTGATCAGTCATATGAGGTAAATGTTTACTATCTTAGAACTTATTTGACTAATTAGATTTCTTCTCCTCTTAAAGAGAGGTCTTGTTATATTTTTTACAAGAAAATGTCTTTACAATAGCCTATTTATTTTACCCTTTATGATCAAAACATTGGTTGATCAGCATATAACACCTCAGCAGTTCAGCAACCATGCATTAATAGGCCTTTTACCTATTTTCCTGCGCAATTTTAGCGGACGTGATGTCAAACACATCCATGTTGGATGCATCCAACCTAGCAAACAATCAAAGCATTATATTCAAGATCGATTTTGTGGATACTCAGAACAACCGGCATCCAGCCCAACTCAGACACCAATGGCAACTTCGAGTAAGGTGAGAAAGGTAAAAAAAACAAAAGTCTTCCAAAATACAAGCTACAAGATTAACCAGAAGAGTGCTGCAGCTCTATGTTTTGGCCACAGGTGGTAGTATCCATAATGCTTCTTCAATCAAATTTACTCTTTTTCAAAAAGTGACATTTTTGATGAAATTTTGACAGTTGATTCGAAAATTGTTTTCTATCAAGCTTTTCAAATACAATACTTGGTTATAAATTTGTATACTTCATTTCATATTGATTGTATATGTGGTCTTTTTCTCTTACCAGTCGTTGCATATGTTTTGAACATGGTGGTTTTAACAATACATATGCATTACACTGTACAGACAGATAAAAAAAAAATCTTATTACATTACTTTTTTTAAATATTCCTGACAAGCTCTGCCAAAATAATGAAAAATTAAATGGTCAAAAATAGCTTTTTTGGTAAATTATCTTTGGCTAACATGTAAAGACCTCAAACTTTGCTTTTCTATTCTTGTATAAATTATGCACAAACTTTATTCTCACTCTGCTGAGTTTTTCTTAAACAGACATAATCAAGTTATATGCCTATACAAACAAAGACCAAAATACATAAGGTTATATAGACCAAGTGTGCATCCTTTTAGCACAGACTTAAGTATATATATGTGTGGCACTTGCACAGCTGCTTATTAGAGCCTGACAATGCAATGCCATGTGACAGCTCGGTATTGTCAAATATTAACTGATAATAAACCAATACACTACAACTATATCTTATAGTGTGTCTTGGGGTTAATGCAATAATGGGGACATAGTATTTTTTCTGGATGAGAAGCATGACCTAAAACGTTCTGTGGCGGATACAGGCGGAGAGGGCGCCCATATCCCTCTTTTGTAGAACGAAATACATTTTTGCTTCCCAAAATCTTAAACATACTGCATTATATTAAGATTAATAGCCAGTACCTGTCACCTAGAACGGGCTGACACTGAAGCTGCGGTAAATAGGCTAATTATTTGTATTACATCATTCTCAATCAAAAACATTATTTAGTGTTAGGTGCTTTGGCTCACAATATTATCATGGCACTCTGTACAAAAGCAGAAATATGTGTAGGCCTATGTGAATATTATCTAAATACTGATAGAAAATTGTATATCTTGTTTTCTTTTTTTCAGTGGGCCTACCACAAGTGTAGAAAATGACCTAAGAGTTAAAATTATTAGTGCATAATCCTCTAATTGCTGAATCAAGCAACTAAATCATCAGTAGAATTCAAATGGCAAAAATAGGAAAAACAACTTGAGTAAATTCAGAAAATGTTATATTTCTAGATTTAATTTAGTCCTAAAAACTTATATGTTCATCACTTTTAAGTCGTCAAAAGTTTTATCAATGCATCATAGATAATTATAGAAATTGTTTCTCAAAGAGTTATGAAAAAGTTGTGGAAAAATATTTTGGCCTGACTGTGAGAACCCTGAAAATGTGAGAAAGAAATCTTTGCATCATATGAGGGTGATATAACCATCCAAGCACATGCTCTAGGTTCGACGCTTGGCTATGCCTAGAAATCCTGTGAATAACAGTTATTAACAGGACTGGTGACAGAGGGAAGCCCTGTCGGAGTCCAACATACACTGGAAACTTCCACATTCTTTCTCCCCTTGTACAGCAACCGGATAGCCCCTAAAAAAGTTCCCCTGACTCCATACTCCTAGAATGCCCAAGGATATCTTTCAGCCTTTGTTCTCAGAAAGAGATGACCATATTTTCACTGAAACTTGATTCTAGGTTTTCTAACCATTTATAGTTTTTTGATTGGGAAACCGGATTTCTAAACAGTCATCTTAAGATACCCCTTAAACACACAGGCAAATGTGTAATCATATATGAAACAAAAGCTTACCATGTGGTTTTGCTTTTCTGATTTTCTTACCTACAAGGTCCCACTCCCCGTTGGGTATATATGTAGAAATATCCACATCCATCATCTGAAGATCCAGTAGCCAGCCATTGTGGGTCCATGAGCCAAATTTCAGGTCACACTTCTGGATATCGAATGGGAACCATCGGACATCAATATAGCATGTACTCTTTAGGATACCTGAAAACAGTACAGTAGTTACAGTGGGATTTTTTAAGTCAACACTTTATTTTGTTTAAGCCCCGATGTATGAAAAATCTGGCAAAAAAGCTGGCATACATTGGATAAGTTTTAGGTCAGTTTTGTAACAGTTATGAGCACGGTGAAGCGGTGTCGACATACAGCAAGTACGTACAATCCGGGCCCATTGCTGCCCCCCTCAGGACACTGGCTTGACGTATGCCAGCGTATGCTCATACGTGGGCCATAAGTTACAAGTAAGTTATCTGATCATCGACATACATTAAGTGTAAGTTACTCATAAGTCGTGGTGTCTAGCTTATCCAAATCTATGAGTAACTTCCATCACTTGTGCGCATCACTTGTGCGAAGCTTATCAAGAACTGTGGGGGGACGGGCCCGAAGCATGAACTAGATGGGTTAGTGTGGCGGTGACTCAACTTTCCTCCCCCATATCCGGATTATAGGTTCGCCTATTTGGTCATTTGGTAATCCCAGCACCGGCCAGCAGCGCTGGCGGGTCCTTGGTCCTGAGATTATTGGATGTGAGTGTATGTGCTTTTTTAAGTTATTTTTTTCCTTCTTCACAAAGACGTTGTGTTGCAAGTGTGGGCACTAGGGTAGCAAGGTGTGATTGACACTGTGTATATATTTTATTTTTTTACTTTTTACTTGTCAGGTCCGGGTCTGAACCGCTACCTCTCCCAAGAACATCTCAAGTCTCCTCTAAGTGCGGAGCCCAATCCCCCCAGTGCATTGGTGGTGCTTGGTGTTTGGGGGTTGATGCCCGGGCGGGTACTGGCTTATTCCTGACAGCTGCTCTGTGGGGCCTGGCCCCTGGGGCTTGGCCGGGGCTCCCGCCAGGGGGTGGGGCACCCCTGGGGCTTCAGGTCCAATGGCCGGATCCCCTTCGGGGGGGCTGGCTGCCAGCGAAGCCCGCGGATTGAGTTTTACAAGGTAATATATGCCTACCCTTGTAGTCCAACCTCCCCTTTAGTCACCTCATAAGGTCCACCATTTCGTGATTCACTCCCCCCGGGAAATTTTCCATTTTGTTGCACCTCCTCCTTTCACCACATGGTAGGGGTTAATCATCTTGCTTGGTACTTCAGATCCTAGAAAGCCCCGCCTTTTTGCTAGGTTAAACTGTTTTGAATGTAGGGTTATCGCTGTGCTACACTGCTATATTGGTAATACATTTGTAAACATTAACCATTTTAAGCTGAGTATTCATGTTGTTTAAACTACACTTATTATTGTAATCATATCTGCTGCTCTTTCAAACAGATACCATTGAATGTATTGGCATTTGGCATACCTTGGACAATTCCAGAAGCCATTTAAATGGACTCTTAGAACCCCTATTTCCCCTATTTTCGAGTAGTGTGTATTGTTTACATAGGTGTTAGATTTCTGTAATCCTGGATTATTAGAAAAAAAGTCATCATTGTTTAACTTGCGGCTATTTCTGCTTTATACAGTAAATGGTTCATCACTCAGGCCAAATTCACCCTCCTTTTGGTGACATTTGAATAAACAGAGACAAATATTTTGTTTGTTTGGTAATTAATAGCTCTCCTGATAGCTTAGCCTAAGTCACTAAACTGTGGAAAATAACTGGATTTTAACAGCACGGAGTGTGAGAGGCCTAAGATCCTGGTGAGTAAACAGGTTATAGTTATAATTATTCAACTAAGAAATTTGTTAAATTAGTTTTACCATTTTGAATGATTTATATGATTAACTACAACTCCAGTTCTAATTAATCATATATTCATAATCTACCTGTAAAATATCACAACAACATATATAAAAACACAAAGAGTTTGCTAAAAACAAACAAAGGACTCCCAGTCTGCCTAAAACAGAATTTGTGGTCTGATGAGACCTAATTAAGCTTTTTTGGCAGTAATTCTAAGATATACTGTATGTGTGGAGAATATCTGACAATGCTCATCACCTGCGCAATTTCATCCAAACAGTGAAACACAGTGGTGGCAGTATCATGCTATAGAGGTGTGTTTTTTTTCAACTCCAGTGATTGGAAAACTATTGTAATTGGAGGAAAGATGAATGCAGCCAACAAAGAGAAACTCTTCCAGAGTGCTCAGGAGCTCAGACTGGCCGAAAGGTTCACCTTCAGACAATACAATGACCCTAAGCACACAGCTAAAATAACAAAGGTATGGCCTTAAAATGACTCTGTGACCAATTCTAAATTGCGCAGACAGAGCCCTGACCTTAATTCAAATGAGCATCCCTGAATAGTACTGGAAATGGCTGTCCACCAACAATCGCCATCCAATCTGACAAAACTGAAGAGGATCGGCATGGAAAAATAGCAGATGATTCCCAATTCCAAAAAGATTGTTGAAAGGCTTGTTGCACCCTTCTCCAGAGGTCTTATGGCTGTATTAACTCGAAAGGGTGCTTCTACTCAATACTGAGCAAAGGATCTGAATGATTATGAACATGTGATTTTTCAGTTTTTCTATCTTATTTTCAGAATATTCTAAATTTCTGTTTTTTTTCTTTCAAGATTGAGTGAACCATATCTAGAAATAAAATAAACTTTTCTGATTTTAGTGAAGGGCTATAGTGAAAGAAAGAGTGTAAAAGTAAAAATCAGAACAGAAACAAAAATCTGGCAAAATAAAACCTGCTTCAAGGGAAATTGTTTGAAGTGCAACTTGTAACTCAAACCAATAGTGCAATTTGAAAATGATAATTATTGTAGATTTTATAGGAATAAATGTTAAAGGCACTATGATATATTGCATCAAACACAATTAGAAATGAGAAAGATAGGTCTATGATGTGGAAAATCTTACCTGGTGGAATATATTGGCAGGCGCCTGACGCATTAACCAGCACATTTGTATGAAAAGTTGCATCAAACCTCTCATCGGCACTACAGTGAGAAAATATATATAACTTTAAAACAGCAATTTCAAACAATCCAATGAAATAAATTAAGTCTGAACAAAGAGTAAGCTTCAAAATCAAACACAAAGAAAAAAACACAGACCAAAAAAAAAAATATTTGAGTTTAAAGCATAGATGAGAAGGATTACCACAGTTTGAAACCGGAAAACATGGCAACAGGGTGCAATAAAGCCTCTTCTTGCAGTGAAAAGTACAAATATTGCATCTTTCATAAAAGAACAACATCCAGATTGTGTTTCTGTCAGATTGTGTAAAACAGAACATAAAGGCTGTATTTACTCAAACTGTAATCACAGTTAACATCAAACTGTGCTTTAAGTGTTTTCTGGAAAATGTTTATAGTTCTATTTAACCCGCTTCAAATATGTTTTAAAACGTATCACACTGAAAAGAGAAAAAATATTTGCATTTGTTGCTCTGATAGTATGTCTGATGTCACTACTGTCTTTAATGAAACAGATGGCATCTGATGAATTTGATCCTTCAACACCTGCAGTGTTGGGATAGAAAGCTTTGTAGTCTTATGACGTGATTATTCTTCAATCGCAGTTGCAATTTCTTTTTGCACCAAAGGTCAATAGAACATGCCTAGAAATTAAAATTGACACAGGTTGTCCAAAGACAGATAATGTGGCATTTTAAAACATGACATTAGATAAATTGTGAATAGTAAATGCCACAATGCTGCTATTGCTCACCTCTGATTTCATGTAAGCAAATAAATAACATGAGCATATTATACATTACACAGCTAAATGCATCTCAGCTGAACAACGGTTTGCGTACATTGTGTAAAAAATGGAAACTGATGACATTTCAGACACAATTGGACAATGGAAATGTTGATTTCACAAAATTTCACAATCCCCTCTTTTACATGAGTTGACCTGATTCCGGAGACAACAGATTTGAGTTTTAAATTGTCATTGTTTTAAACTGAAGATTCCAGCAAACGTGCAAACAAAACTTTAATGTTTATTTTCTCATTATGTCACACGGTGACAATAATTTCGATATCATACAAATAGCCAAGAAAAGTAAAAGGAATAAAATAACCAGAGTTGGATACTAAATAAACCCTAATTTATCAAAGCAAATGATTTACTTTGAAATACTCGGAAACTCTAAATAAATAAATAAAATGGTGACGACTGAAAGCACTTTAGCCCAAGCAATGATTGAATGCTTATAAAAAGCCAGACACTAGCTTGACTCACCCATCAATTGTTACTGTCTGATATATATCTCTACCACTTACTGGAAGCAAAGGAGTATGACGAGCATACTTAAACTCTCCCTGAAGGCTTTTTGCTACAGTACATAAAATTTTATTATGTTCCTTTGCCCAACACCAGCTAACAAGCACTGTAAAATCTCTGAAGGTGTAGAGGATTTTTAGGAGGGACGTTTAATTACTGCCAGCTGGGAGATGATTGCTTTTGCAGCTTTGGAAAAAAACTTTTCTTGAGTCTATTTGTTTCTTATCAGAGATGGATTACCAAAAATGCACTTAATTGTAGCACTACATCATATTTTTACTCAAGTAAAAGTAAAAAATAGCCTTTAAAGAAAATACACAAGTAACAGTAAAAGTATTTGGTTAAAAGGCTACTGATGTACTGAGTAACTGATCTACTTACTAACCATGACCATAAAACTCATTCAATATTTTACAAAATGATGTGAAATTGAAAAAAATATTAAGTGATATGCAAATGGTTGTGTTTTAAAGAATAAGATAAAAAAATAAACATAACATACAGTACAGTAATTACGTAATACAAAATAGGTGGAATGAACTAGTTCACAGTTAAATTTTTTTATTTATAAAATTTGCTAAATCAGTAGTTATAGTATGTAAGAATAGGTTAAATTACAGTAACCTTTATATTGTATACTGGCAGACTCATCATGTGGAAAATAACATTTAACCAATATGCTTGTTTTAGTAAGTGAAGTTGCTCACAATGGATGGTGTAGCCAGATATTGTACTCAAGTAAGAAAAGTGAAAATTTTATATATTTTACTAAAGTAAAAAGTATGATGCTGTAAAAAAACCAAAACATTTTCCTCAAGTAAATGTAACCAAGTAAATGCATTTAATTGCTACTCTATTTAATTTCCACAAAATCTTCAGAACATCCTGTATGTGTAGAAAAAATATATTTATATGTGTTTTTTTCTTATCATAGCGGGGTCCAGTTATGGTAAAGGTACTCCTTAAGTCCTTAAACATGACTATTTTTTTTTTCAAACAAAACTGTAGAACTGCATGCAGAATCTTGAAGAGATGTTTAATTATTGTTAGAATGCTTTTAAATTTCATTAAATTTTTTTAAGAAAGGAAATTTGTTTATGTTATGAGATAATGCTGATCTGCCTTTGGTTGTTAGTCCATAGCTTTGCCTTGGGATGATAGTTTTAATATGATGCATTTTCAATTTTCCCTCAGCTGTGGCAATTCATTCGCACATTTCATAAGTTTTTATTTAATTTATATGGTTACATTCACGATATACAAAATAAAACCACAGACCGGCTAATAATAAAGTGCGATCCGACCAGTGATCACAAGGTGTACACACAGCCATTTCAGCGGCTTCCGATGTTATCATCCTATTAAATTACTGTTAATAGCTGTTATCAGTCACATAGAAGGGCTTCAGATTTTGCCTACCAGTAATCTCAGTAGGTTGTTATCACCGAATTAATCCCAAACCTAATTAATTAATTAAGTAATTCCTTTTTTACTCATAGTATCAATCTATTTATGTGTAATCTGAAAATAATTTTAGTACTTCTTCATCTATTAAAAAAAAAAAGCTTGATCGGCATGTCGCTCACATTGAACAACCCCTACAAAAAAATGTCATATCTTGTAAACTGTTGTCTGTGCGACTAAAACATGTGGAATTCATTCAAAGTAAAGATTTAAAACAAAAAATAAGGTAAGGTATACTCTGAATAAGGTATACTCTAAATAAAGTAGATAAAAGTGTAAAGTAGGTCATTAGAAAGTGAAACTTAAGGTTTTAGACGTGGCCGAAGCGACTATTATCAGCCATAAGAAACCTACTAGAAGGGGGAGGAGGCGTAACCTGACAACAGCCAGATGCATGTCTCGCTCCGCCCAGCTCCACTCAGCGGAGCTAGGCGGAGTGAGACATGCATCTGGCTGTTGTCAGGTTAGAGGAGGCGCAGCCTGGAGCCATTCTATGAGACTGATAACCGCTAATAACTGCCATTTAATGGGTGATCACATCTGAAACAGGGCAGTATATAATTACAGAGGCAGAAAAGAAACATTGCCTTATGCTCACATCTAGCGCATGCTGCACTCACAGCTGTAAACTGGCTGAAGTAAGAAGGTTTGTCTCATTGCTTAAAAAAATACTGTTATCTGGATATGAATAAATCAATTAATTTATTCTTTAAGATGTAGACTTGATAAATAAGATAAGTTTCATTCATGCTGTAACTCTATGATACGTGCATTTTGTTCATTTATACCCATGCACAAAATAATGTAGGTTTTTTTTTCTACCTGTCGATGTAAGTTTTATATGGGTACCCAGCCCGGTGCAGGACTCTGCAATGTTCCCCTCAATAATTAGTTATTTGAACAGCTTAATATTTTTTTCTTCTTGGTTTTTTTTTTGACTGTATATATTAATTTATTTCTGTTGCAAATTATTTTCAATTACAAAGAGTGGAAACAACCTATTCTTTTTAAATTTTACGAAAAAAGGAATCAAAATATTTTAAGAACTGATGGTGTTTTTTTGTCATCACAAAAAACATAAATAATGAGGGGCAGACAGAGCAGGTAAGTGCAGTGTTTTTCTTTTCTCTAGATGTGTCATTGTGTTTTTAATATACGAATTGTGGTGTCTGAGTCTGTTTATGTGCAGTTTGGGTAGTCCCCTCTCCCCCTCTCTCTCTGATAGGTGTGGCTTGGGAGTTGCTGGCTGCACACAGCTGAGACTAATCTTCATCTGGAGCAGTATTTGAAGCCTGGCTACCTGTGTGCTCACTGCCTGATGGTCACCGTTTGTTGGTAGATGTGCCAACTTCTCTCCCTTGTGGAAATTATCTCTTCTGATTTTGAAATTGAAAGAATTTATCTTACCTGTGCTCTGTCTACCCAGGATCCAGCTCCAGATCTGTCTTCAGCTACCAAGCCACACCACCCACCTCCCTCTACTCCCACTGCTGCAGAGAGCTTGTCGGCCACCTCCAACTGCTCCTGCTTCCAGAGACACCTTCCTTCACTGTCAGCCTGTGAACCAAAGAATAAACTTTGCACCTTTCTCCTAGCCTGGCTGTCTGCATTTTGGGTCCAGCACCTAGCCTTCACACGAATTTGAACTTTCTCTATCTGTTCTGGTTTGAGATCCT